CACACACACACACACACACACACACACACACACACACACACACACATACTTTCTCCTTCCTTCCTTCCTTCCTTCTTTTTCTCTCTGCTTTTCAGTCCCTTCTCTCCTTCTCACTTCTCCCCTCATTCCTTTTTTCCTCCTCCTTCTATCTGCCCTCCGCTTATCTCCCCACTTCNGTTTGAGGAATCCCCATTATATTAACCTTTCAACTAACAAGGTTGCATATTTGCATTAACGTATTCAAGTGTTACCATTTTGGTGCAATAGTAGCTACAGAACATGTACTGTGCTGTGTAAACTGTACTGTATCACATAGCGTTTAAGACACACAAACTTTCAACTTCCAAACTCTAAAACGGTGCGCTCCCACCGCACGTACCGGCAGTGATCTACAGCAGCGGTTTTCAACCAGTGGGTACGCGGAGACAAACTGTCTCGCTCTCGTAATGTCTGTCTGTCTTGCTCTCGTTCTGTCTCTCGTACCACTCTCGGTTCACTTTTACTTTTGCGCGCTACCTGTCTCACTCTTTTCGGCCTCCAGCTTTTCCTGCTGGAACCCGCCGCCCTAAAAGTGGGGGGCGCGGACCGGCCATAGAGCCCATAGAGTTAAAGGTTGGTGGACTGTAAACCTGTCAAATCCATAGATTTAGGAGGTCCCCCTAGGGGGCCGTTAGCCTGTACAAATCCATAGATTAGCCGCACCGTTATATAAGCCGCAGCGTCGAAAAATGGGAAAAAAGGCGCAGCTTATAGTCCGAAAATTACGGTAGTCACTTTTGTACTCCTATATCGGTGCTTTGAAACCCTTTGCATATACAGGTGTTGGAATCATTTTGTTCTATAAAGTTGTAAAAGTAGTAGTATTCTGTATATCTGATCATGTTGCCCCTTTTTTTCTGTGCCTTGAGCAGACTACACGATCCTGGACTGCATCTACAGCGAGGTGGACAGAACGTTCTACATCCTGGACGTCATGTGCTGGCGAGGCCACCCGGTCTACGACTGCCCGGTAAGACGGGCTTCTAATCCAGGAATGCTCGTCTAATTGCTTAAGTAGCCGAGTCTGGGCCACAGATGTGCTTCTTTGCCACGTTCGCCCCTCTCATTGGCTCTGGATTTTGAAGAAGGAGGTTTTTTGTTTACAGTTCTTGTTTTCTCATCAACAGACCGAGTTCCGTTTCTACTGGCTCCAGTCCAAAGTCGAGGAGACGGACGGCCTTTCAGAAATCGCCAAACGCAACCCTGTGAGTATCAGGAAAAGAGCATCTTCACTTCAAGCCCCATTTTGTCCCGTCTAGTTTTCGGTGTTGTTGTTTGAGACACTGTTACATGTTTATCCAATCACGTTCTGCATGTTGTGCCTTGCTGCACCTCCACATAGGGGTCCTTAATGTGAACCTCCTCAGGGAAAGAGGAGACAAAGGAAATCAAAAGCGAACTCCCATTACCGTCTTTGGTACTAATTGTGCACTAAAGTGTTTATTGCACACAAATCTCGATAATTACGGGGCTTAGAGGAAGCCTGGGTGAACTTTGAATTCCTATTCCCCTTTTAATCTTCAGCCTTCCTGTGGTACAGCCCAGTAGGAGCTAAATCAGGCTTAGTCCTTGTAGAGTAAACTCTCCATCGGAAAGTCATTTCTCACATTTGACACGAGGACAAATTGTGTTTGAACTAACAACGTGGTGTGCTCTGGTTTTGTTTGGTCCTACAGTTCCGGTTTGTGAGCCTTCAAAGTGCAGCCTGCACTGCAGAGCTGATCCAGAAAGCCCTGGCTGCCGAGTACAGCTTCAGCGTAAGAGAATACCTCTCTTCCTTCAATTCAAAACATATCTGCTTCACATTGCATGAGTCAAATAGCTGCTTAAAACGCTACGTGTATTCATGCATGTGTGGGATTATACATCATTTGGTTATGAAACACAAATGGAGGAACTTCATCAGGCATTCCCATGTCAAAAGTCAAAGTCAACTTTATTGTCAATCTTTCAGTTTGTGTGTACAGACAGAGATCGAAATACCCACAATCTAGAGTACAAAAACAAATATATATAAAAATATGTATATACCTATATATATTTACACAATCAAAGACACATTTATACATATGCACACATTAAGACCTAAATAAAAGCACAACAATCAATATATACAAAATAACAGTCACTTCAATATCTAATTTTCTGGCTGCAGGTGGATGGTCTTCTCTTCTACCACCGGCAGACCCACTACACCCCCGGCAGCACCCCTCTGGTGGGCTGGCTGCGGCCCTACATGGTCACTGACATCCTGGGCATCGAGGTGCCCGAGGGCCCCCTCACCACCAAGCCTGAGTACGCCAGCCAGCAGCTGCAGCAGATCCTGGAGCACAAAAAACCATCGACTGAAGTCCGCCCCGCCAACAGGAGCGGGGGCTACGAGTTAGAGTACCTGTCCACCCCTCTACGGGACAGTGAGGACCCTCTGAACTTTTTAAATACGAAGCCAATACAGGAAGCACACATGGAGGTCTGAGAGTTAAGCTAAACAAGCGGATTGCTAACTCAGTGTTTCCGAGCGGCCTCCATATGTTCCTTTTTAGAAGGTCTGCTGAATGCTTTTTCCAGATCTGACCAATTGCATTGCATGGCTAATTCTAATCCGGCACTGCTCAGGACGCCTTCGGAGTGCAGATCAGTTGAGCTATGTTATATATGTGTTTTTAAATGGATAAAACTCTGACATTCACATATTGTACCTGCTGCTGAACTCTAGAACAGATTAGTTTCTTTGAGAGTAACAGGGCAGGATTTACCCACCACAACTACTAAGTGATGGTTTGATATGCAACTCCCTTTCATAGCACCATGGGTAGTTGCATATGCTAACAAATGTGTTTTGTCTGCGAGATATAATGCATGGTAAATGTTATGGCTTGATTGCTTTGGATTTCGCATTACAAACATCATTACCGCTGTAACTTTGCACACTTTCTAAAACGACTACCCTCCAAACAATACAGAACTCGTAAACAGATCATTACTTTGTGCAACACAGAAATAGAGAGCTGCACTCAGAGTTTTCTTAGATGAGGTTTTGCCGACAGTCAGGCGGCAGCAGTGACATGGGTTTTTACAATGTTAAAAAATATGTTTTAAAGAGTACGTTTCTTAATAAAAGTTTTTTTTATCAGCCTACAGTGTTGCCACTTATTTCTTTAAAGGTATTGGATCAGGTTAGTTCTTGGGGAGAAACAAGGTTTTGGTTTTTTTCATTAGAAAACTGTTAATATGCTCATTTAATTAGATTCTGGTTATTTGGACTATTCACCATTTTGTGTACATGTATCAGGCTTATAGCTGAATGTTTACGCTGTGACAAAGCAAAGATCCCTATATAAAATCAAATACTTTTAAACAGTTGTGTGTGTGTGTATATATACCTAACTTATTTAAACAATAAAGTCAAGTGGATGTTAAGTTAAGAAAATCCTTTGAATTGGGTTTTCACATCCTCTGCAAACACACCTCTGACTTGACTGTACTTGCACTGTCAATAAACCTGCAAGTGTCTGATGTTCCAGGATATGATAGGATGTGAGTCATCGTGCTGAGAGCTCATCGAGAGCATCTCTTCCCCTCTGCACTGAGTGAGCTCACAAGGCCATTTGCGTGACTGAAGAGCTAGAAGGAACTTGTCAACAGGAAAAGACGAGAATCGAGAAAGTGTCTGGCAGGGTCGTGAACTTAGTTTTCGTCGACCTGTGCCAGCATATCCTTTGACATAAAAACACCTAATACCATCTCCTCAGGTTACGAGATCTGTGCTGCATGAACTAGTTTACAATATCTGAGGATCAGAAGCAGCCTGGTTCTCCGTTTCCTTTTCGTTGCCATGTTTTTGGTGAGAATAGTTACAGTTAAATTGTTTGTGGACTGTTTTAAAACTTGTTTAATTTGTTTCCACTGCAAAGTTTGAACTTTGACTTCACAGGTGGTTGATTTAGTAGTGGTACCATGAAAGGAATTATCTGTACAAATTATTCTATTTCTACATATAGTTAGCGTTAGCTCGACAGCTAATAGTGTCGTCGGTCAGTCCAACACGTTGGTCAAGACTGAGATATCTCCAAAGTACATTCATGGTCTACAGAGGAGAAACCAAATATGCTTTGGTGACCCTATATATTTGGGATTTTCCTCAAGCACTACCATGCGTTTAACATGAAGGTGAAATATCTCCGCAATTTGATGGATATTATAGACATTAATTTCCCCCTCAGAATGAACTGCAATGACTTTAGTGATAACTTTCAAACGTTAAACAATTGTCACATGCTCTCACACTTAAACCTCAGCTTTCCTTTTATTTAACACTGAGGGGCAAATGATAGCATGCTAACGGTACTTAGATGGTGACTACTTCGGCTGTAGACAAAACATTTTAACATACTTTTTGGACTTGTGTTTCCATTTGGAAAAAGGCAGTTATTTTTAATAATTTCTTTAAAGAAATGTTTCGTCTTATGTTCGAACAACTACTCACTTGTTCTACTCTGGAAAAAAAAATGTTTTCTTCTTCCTTCTCGTTCTTATGATGGTATCGCTATTGCTCTCACCACCTACACGGAACATTTACAGGTGAAAATAACACGTTCACCACCCTTGTGTGGGGGGGTTGTTATATATCTAATTCTGGGAAATAGGAGATCACTGACTTAGAGGAAAGTGCACAATGCAGCTGAAAGAACTAAATACCACATTTCAAAATCTGATCAGGTGATTGCTCCTGGAAAGCATTAAACATCACTGACTGATCTGAAAAGTCAAAGCAGATAACAGTATTTAGTAGTGGAAGGTTCTTGGTTATCTGCTTTTAAATGAGTTTTCAGTTCTACCTAAATGTAGACAAGGGACATTTAAACAGTATATGAAACAGAGTTGATGTGGTTTGTGACAAATCCGATTGAAAAACTATATAAATAATGTTTGATCTCCCTTTGATTTTTTTATGTGGTCAAAACGTGTGCAAATATACATTTCTGCAAAAGGGTCCAAAGCATTTGACTCCTTCTGACTCAGTATTTAAGAACAATATCTTTGACGAAATGTTTTTCATCGGGTACAATCGGATGTTTTTGTCTTCCACATTCAGTCACCACTATACCTAGACGCCTGTCAAAGAGAGCAAAGTCAGGCATGTGGTTACTGCAAGAATTCAGCTATTAGTCAGCAGCGCAGATCACTTTCCAGGAACTGAGCACCTGTAAGTACACAGTTGCACTTATTAAAGTGTGCTTAGTTCCTTACACACACACACACACACACACACACACACACACACACACACACACACACACACACACACACACACACACACACACACACACACACACACACACAAACACGCGGTTACTTAGGCTTCTCTGATTACTACGAAAACCCTGTCACATGCCTTTTAAGGAGGCAGATTTGTGTTTCTCTTGCAACTCTCAGACATGATGAATAGTCTTGTTCTTTTCCAAACTGAACCCAAATTCCAAGAAGCTGCAATCCAACATATGAACACATTTGGACTAGCCACATACAAAAAGAAAATACTGGTAGAGTGTAGCTCAATATTTAAAGTGTGCATATGAGACTTGTATTGATTTTCTCATCTAACTCTTGGCAAGAAAGTGCATAAGCATACTTCTTAAATTGGCAACCATATTATATTATAACATTTTAAATCAATATTTTGTTTAAAACAAAAAACTATTTTAAATGATTGAGAATCAATGCATCAGAATCAATCTTCTATGTGTAATCTGGGTCAGTAATGTGTGTGTGGTTTGATGTAAATTCCCAAATGTCAGATCAATTTAGTAGCATTAAGGCGCTGAGTCCTCAACGGATTGCATAGTTAATTTGTGATTCTTAGACAAATCCAGTTAAATGTGATTTTCAAGCAGCCTTTACATAAAAAGCAGTCACTCCAGACTTGTTACATGGCGCTTGGCATCGCCACACTGTACTTTAGACAACATCTTGGAGTAAACAGATGTATTTAGACTGTGAATGCCTTTATTTCACCCACTGCTAACCAGTGTGTGAAAATGGGCCTTTAAGAGTTTTTATGTCAGGGTGTTCATTACAAGGGCAGGGTTAAGAGTTTACCAATCACATTTCCCCAAATATCAGCTAGTTTGATAGGAAGTCTATTGTTGTCTACTCCCTTTTCCCTTCGGTTTTCAAGCCAGACTTTCTCACGGCTTATTATTTACAGTTTGCCTATTGTGGGATTGTTTTTTGTGGAAAGAAAAATATAAACAGCATGTGATTGTACCTATAACTTCTAGCTTCTTTTCTTACAACAACAACACTTGAAGTCGAAGAAATGAATCACTTGTCTCAAAAGGCTTTCCCTTATTCAACCACAGGCCTAACAATGTATCTATGATGTTAACACAACATTGAGAAATCTCAGCAACTTCTCACACTGTGTGCCTGTTCTGCATCAGATTACTTTTACAGCCTCATTACAATTTCATCAAGGTATGAAATGAAGGCCATCAATAGGCTTACAGGAAATACAATCTCCTGACTGCACTATTTAACTATCCTGATGAGAAATATCAGCAGAAGATTACGTTTCTGTGGAGGCCTGAGGTTTCTTCGGGGGTCATTAGAGTGACTTTATCGTACGGTGGGGTATTTTCTGCTTCCTATGATGTCAGGCAATTCCTGTAAAGTGTACTGGATCATAATGTAGCCTGAGGGAGTCCAGAGGTACACTAATTAAATTGCTAATCTTGCAACCTACTAGTGCGGAAATACCTGCTACTATTATTAGTTATTTCCTCTTACTTTATTTAATGCAGCAGTATCTTAATGCATTGATGGTTTTGGAGACAGCCCTTGTGATGCATAGCTAATGCCTGGATGTGCACAAAAAGATAAATAACCTCAATATAGACTGCAGTGTCTGAAGGTGGTTAGCTTAGCTTAGCATAGAGATTGTAAATGGGGAATTATATGTATGTAGTTCTTTCCAAAGGTAACATAATCTGTACACAAGAAGCTCTCTAATAAATAAGTTAGGTATTGTTGGTGGGACCCGAGGAAAAAGATTGTCTTCCAATTTCCTTTTTTTTGTGATTTCCCACTTATTTAGGGTTAAAAAAACATCTTGCAATTTAGACTTTTTTTATTTTATTTTATTTTAAAATGTTACAGTATGTCCACTGTAGAGGACGTCGGGACCATATTAGTTTGAAAAGACAGCCAAAATTAACAGATAGACTATGTAACGTATTATGGTTATAGAGTGATATTAATACAATAATACATTCACCTTTATTTAAAACATGAATAAGTAATTGATCTGAACATTGCTGTTTATTTGGTCACTAAAAAACTAGTTTGGTTTTTGGTGAATCTTTCCAGATCTTCAAAGACTTTGTAGTCAATGTAGTGGGAAAAGTACCTCAGTCGGCACGGGCTGTAGGGTCATCTTGACTAGTTGTATGGATGTGGTCTCCATTTGACCATGCTCATAGAAACAAAGCTGGCATTCCTGAGGCAATTCTCATTTTTCATGGCTCCACTTAAAATAAAAACAACAATAAGACATACGTGCTACTCTTGGCCCAAAGAGGGCCATGTCTTTCCAGCTCGTCCCTATCTGTCTCTCTGTCTGCATCTGTGCGCTCATGGAGCCTCCTGCATCTTTTCCCCCCTTCTTCTTGACCCTCTTCTATCCCAGGTGTGAAATCATCATCTCTCTCATCATCTGAGAGCTCAAAATCTGAATCTCCCTGAACTATCTGGTACAGAAAATGTCTGCTTCAGTTCCGTCTCCTGCAACAATATTGAGTCATAAGTCCATGAAGATGGTCCTGACGTCCACTAGAATGGACATTTATAAAAGGGCTGTTATTTGAAAACTTGAATTATTTAATTGCTTTCAGAACAAATTATATAGTTCCTCACATGTTAATAAACAAGAACATATAGGATTTTCATNTGATCAATCATTATAAAACATATCATATATATTATTCTGAAATGGACCAATCTGCACAATGATTACTTTTGGTACTTACATATTTTGATGCTAATACTTTTCTAAAAGTATTAGCATCAAAATATGTAAGTACCAAAAGTAATCATTGTGCAGATTGGTCCATTTCAGAATAATATATATGATATGTTTTATAATGATTGATCATTAAAGTGTTCTCAAAGCTGGTAAAGGTGCAGCTAGTTTGAATGACTTTGTATACTGCAGGGTAGCTTGTGAATTTACTCCAGGTGGAACTAAACTCTGATTCAACACTTGATTATATTTCACATCATTCATCCACATCTGTAAAGTAACTAAAGGTATTACACATGTAGTGGAGTAAAAGAACACCATTTACCTCTGAACTGTTGTGGAGTATAAGTACAGTAGCATATAATAGAAATACTCAAGTAAAGTACAAGTACCCCAAAATGATACTTAGGTACAGTACTTAAGTAGATGTACTTTGTTACTTTCCACCTGAGGGTATAACTAGCTATACATTCCACCAAATCTATATTTATTCAGCTTCGCTTGCACTTTCGCGATAACTGCGTAACAATTAATTTCCTAACATCTCTCTTTTCAGTATCTGCGGAACACTTCATTCCGTTGACCAGGTTTGGAAATGATCATTTATTTTCTAATATGAAAACAAAGCCATTCCAGCTGCTCCAATGTTTATCTGACTGCATAGACTTGTAATCTTCTGATGTCACATTTCTCTGTTTGTTTGTTTTAGTACTTGAACATTAAGCTCACAGACATCAGCGTCACTGATCCAGAGAAATATCCACACATGGTGAGTGTATCCGTCTGATCATTCAGTGTCATTTCAGCTTTGAAGACACGTCAGTCCTAAAACTCTACTGTTCATTTTGAGACACTGGATGTTCTGGCCCTATTTACCAGCTCGAAAACATTTAAATTATATATATTAAAGGTGGGGTATGTAATTTATTTCAGAGACACTTTTTGAAAATGTGTCACTTCGATAATTCATAACTTACCCAACCGCTATAATAATTGCTTATTAACATCCTCAAGTCAGAATAAAAGGATGATTTTTGTTATTATAATTAATATTGTTGTTGTTTATTATACCTCAATAAATGTGAATGTAAAGCCAATTTTAACAAAACACCAATAAAACTTTGTGTGTTTTATTAATAAAATGAGGGATGGAAAATTACTAACAAATACAATCTGATCAAATATAATCAGGCAGCGTCTGTGTCACTTTGAAAGACAACCATGTTCAAACTCTGCTGTGTTCGGTTTGTGCTCTGCTCAGCTGTCAGTGAAAAACTGTTTCATCCGTGGGTCTGTGGTCCGGTACGTGCAGCTGCCCGCTGATGAGGTGGACACGCAGCTCCTGCAGGACGCGGCGCGGAAAGAAGCCATGCAGCAGAAGCAATGAGTGGGGGTGGAAGTGTGGGGTGGGGGGCTGAATAATGAGTAGTTTTGAGTTCAGGTCATTTTAAAGATGATCCCGTTTGTGCAGCTCTTGTAAACGGAGCATTATTGGTAATTTTCCTGTATTTTCAAATGGAACTTAATAGTATTTCTGACACGGATAATTAATCATTTGTAAACAGTCATTTTTGGATTGGTCTTTGTTTTGTTTAAAAGAAAGAAAATTAAATAAAATGTTGAGCCCAGTAGAGGTAAAGATCTGTTGAAGTGTTTCTGTTGCATACAAGCTCTGTTTCTTATCTTAAATGATGACTTTGTTTTTTTATGCCACTTCAAAATAAAAAAGCTATTTTATTTACATATTGAAATTATTGTCGTTAATTCTATGTAACAAGTGATACACATGTTTTGGGCTCTTAAGGATTACAGCCAGAATTTTCCTTGAGCTGCGATCATGCGAGAAAGTTATTTAGTAAATGACTGCATTTATGGGAAATAAAAATCCCATGACCTCATTGCTAGTTATCCAAATCAGTGTATATAAATGTTTATTTAAGATGTTTTATATTTGTCCTGAAGTTTTGTCTCAGTTATTGTAGCTACCTAACAATGTTCTTGAACAGATAGTCCCTGTATACCCAGTCCGTTCTCCTTGTAATATGACTAAATCAGTCTGGTGAGTACATAGAAATCCAATACCTTTATTTTACATTCATACATCTATAACATTGTACAATAAGTTTAATGCAGTTAAAAAAGCCCAATCTTAAAACAAATCCTGAAGATTAACAATGATGAATTTATGTTTTGCGATTGGTGACAAGCATTTAAAAATATACACAAACACACACGGGGTATGAGGACGAGTGGCGTCCTTGAGTTGTACCTTTATATAGCTGTGCTGAACAGAGAGGGATTCAGACAGAGAGAAAAAGGCACATTGAATACACAGTGTACAAAACAGAAATGTTGACACGTAACAACCTTACTGCAGGATCTAGAACAATGACCAAAAACTGTAAACCTTCACTTATGGAAAACGAATGAACAAAAACTAAAGTCACATCTATACAAATACATTTAAAACAAAATATTTTCTTGATCATAACAAAGCAGAACCTTGAAATGCATTTCAACACCTAGATTGCCTCTGCCAGCAGAGAGCAATCCCACAGATATAATTACACAATATGTCACAATATTTATGCAGTTGCCCACTTCATGTGCTCCGACAACTGGTTGGAGAACCTCATGCAGAACCTCATCAGACAGCAGCTTCAGCTGATATGTTTTAGATTAAATCTAATTACAATGTCTCCCCCCTCTTTACAGGAAAATGGCAACTTGAAATGGTGCAACATGTACGTACATCTACATAAAAATGTGTAGACAACCCTATACAGCCGCAAATCTCGGATTCTTAAAATATATGTACCACCCGTCAATCAAAAATGTTCTATACTTTCAGAAATGTAAGTTCTCTGATATAAAATACTGTATTTTAAAAAGCAAATTGTTTACATTCCATCCAACAAAATAAAGCTTTATATACGTACCTTCAAAGCTTAGAAACACTCCCAACATACATATATATGTATTTATATATATATATATTCTATATAGAAACAATAAAGTGACTAAGATGCCATAAGTGGCTCTACGTTCACATGTAGTGGAAACCCGTTTAGAATGGCGTACAAAGCCAATGTATTTGTCTAATGAACACAGTGTGGCACTAGAATTGTGGATGATTGTACGAGTTGGGGTCTCAATGCCAAGGTCAAGATTGCCTCCTCTGAAACGGGCCTCTTCTTCCCGCTCAGCATGCCTTAGTCAGGTCAGTGGGCATGTCGGGCGTGGTCATGCGGTACTGGATCTTCGTGTTAGTGATGGCGCCATGCTTCTGTCGGAGATGCAACCGTAGCTGACTCTTGTGGCGGAAGTGCAAGTTGCATTTCTCACACTGAAAAGAGAAGCGGCGTAACGTTACTTAGGATGTTTTTACGGAGGCAATATTATTGTTTGATTTAGTAACTTTAAAGTAGTGAAAAGAGTGCGTGGACCTACATGATAGGGCTTTTCTCCTGTGTGAATGCGCAGGTGGCTCTTCAGCGTCTGCAGGTGACGGAAGCGTGTTCCACAGATCTCACAGGGATATGGCTTCTCCCCCGTGTGGATCAACACATGGGCACGGAGATGAGCAACCTGAAACACAAACAAAACACATGAGGATTGCAACAAACAAGTAATTTGCTAGATTATTTGTATGGTTCATAAAAAGTCAGAACATAGAAAATAATATTGTCCATCCCAGTTCCTCAAAGTTCAGAGCAAATAATGTCCACATTTGAAATGCTAAAACAGCGTTCAAGCACAATAAATCAAAATCAATTCACAAATAGAAACAATATTACCTCCCCAGTTAATAATCAGTGTAACACATAGCTTTACGATTAAAACATCTATCTATCTCTATATATATATGCATGCATATACACTTCATATACATAAATAAATACATACAATACAAATAAATACAAGAAGAATAAAAGAGAAACATACAACTCAGTAAAAAGCTCAATTAAAAAAGGTGGGTCTTTAGTTTGCTCTTATAAGTACTAAAGCTCTCTGCTGAACCTCATAAATCAATCTGACTGATCACAACAATGCAAACTATTATCGGGGAATGAGTCAGACTTTGATGAAACTTTTCAGACAGTCAATGTATTTGAATCAATTGTAAAAATTTTTTTTAAAAACACACTTAAGGTAGCTCTTCACTGTAATTATGGGTATTTTTGTAAAGCTGAAAATGACTAAACCCTCCCAGAGTGCTATTAGCCCAAACACATTAGAGAGAAAATGTTTTATATAGAGCCGTCTCTGTAGTTTTTACCTGTACGAAACGAGCTCCACACGTCTCACATTTGTATGGCTTCTCTCCTGAGTGGATGCGAGTGTGAGTCTTGAGGTTTGCTGGTCTGTTAAACTGAGCACCGCAGATATTACAGCGATACGGCTTCTCTCCTGAGGAAAATAAATCAGAGGGTGGAAATGGTTAGCATTCAGCAGCAGGGGAGCGTGGACTTTATCAGACAATAGAAGATCTGTGATGTACCGGTGTGGACGGTCTTGTGGCTGGCGAGGTTGCCCTTGTAGCGGAAGGCGGCCTGGCAGCGGTCACACTTGTAGGGCTTGTCGCTGTGCACCTGGAGCATGTGTTGCTTCAGCGCCCCGTCTTCAGCGAACTTGGAGTCGCACTCGTTACAGAAGAATGTGCCGTTTTCTGTCCGGGGGAAACCGTAGCAAAGGTTACCTCAAGTCAGGTTTGGGAAATAACGGACTACATGTAACAGCATTACGTAATCAGGATACAAAAAAAGTAACCAATGCCGTTACGGTTACATTAAGAAAAGACATCACATTACTGTTAACATTTTTTTTGAATGGGGATTAGAATGCATCAATGAATTATAGGTAAACATCCTGCCGGAATGTTCTTTTTGGTTTTCATTTAGGCTACTTTCACTCTCTTTTTTTAAAGCAGGAGGTGGACACCTAATTTATTAAAAACAAAAATGCTGCTTGCTTTTAATTCATAAATTAAACTAAAACACTTTTTGAAAGCTCTACCATTCTGTAGGTCTAGCCTAAGTTTAAGAGGACACATTTCTACTAAATATCTTGGTTAGGTTGTAGCTTATTGTTCTGTTGTCTCTAATACACTGAAGTAAAAACATATTACTCATATTTCCTCTCTTTTTTTATTTATTTGCATTGCATTTGATGTTGAGGTAATCCAACAGTAATGGAAAGTAATTAGATTACATTACTTTTATATTCTGATACTAAGAAAATGTTTTAAATGTTTTACAGGTAACTATTAATTGTAAACATTTTTAAAGTAACCTTCCCAACCCTGCCTCTAGTCCTTAAAAAGTTATTGATTTACAACGCTTGTCACTGTATTAAATTGGATGTGTGTATCTCACCACAGCTGGAGTCGGAGTACTCTGAGTGCAGCTCTGCCATGTCCTCAGCTAGCCGGGACCTGGGGGTGTTGGGACAGACCTCCGAGTGCTGCGGGGAGGGGGTGCCGCAGGTCGAGCAGTTCAGGCGGCTCAAGTAATGCGGAGTGCGGCTGTCCCCGTTCCTCAGCGACCCCTCCAGTGCACTAACACAAAAACAAGTACTTCATGTAAGGCATAAAAAAAAGACCGTAAAAATCATATATTACAATATATTCAAATCAAATATACTTGCAAAATAAAGTTTCTAAAAGATCTTAGTGAATGCCCAAAAATGCTCAAACACTGCAAATAAAAATGAATGGATCATAAAACTTGTATAAAATATATACACAAACTTTACCTATAAATCCTCACAGCATGCCATAGAACTTGATTAACATGTTCTTGTTGTACTGCAGCACACATGCAGCTGTGTGTCTGAGCGCTCACCTGCTGATGATGTTGTTGAGGCGGCTGGCCTGCGGCACAGGAAGCTCCTCGCTGTGGTCGCTGCTCCTGCTCGTGGCTTGAGGGTCCAGGTTCTCTGAGTCGCTGGGGTGGAGGTAGGGTACCAGACCCAGATGCTGAGGGGACCGGAGCCCCACCTCGTCTTCCTTGGCGCTCTGATTCTGCACGATGAACTTGTACTTCTTCCAGTTGCGGGATTTGGTCTCCTGCGCGCCTTGTGGAGCCTGCACCGCGGCAGCCTGGGAGAGCGTGGCGTTCTTGCTGCTGCTGGACTCTATTGGGGAGTTGGGCTGGCAGTCTGATTTGAGGGGGCTCTGCGGGCTGCTCATGAGGCTCTTGCGCCCTGTGGAGGAGATTCCCAGCGGGTAGTGCTGATGGATCAGGTCTTCCTCTGCCTGAGGAGCGTGATCTTTCCCTGACTCTCTGTGGTGCTCGAGGGTCAACACAGGAAACGCACGCTTCCTTGCGCCGTGGGTGATAGACTGGCTGACCCCCTCGTGGCTCTCCTTCCGCATCTCGTCGTCTCTGCCTACCTCCCTGGAAGCGTAGGTGGTGGAGTGAATAATGCTGGAGGAGCTGGTGCCAAGTGCTCGACTGTATTCTGCCCTGATGATGTTGGCGCTGTCATGCGGAGAACAATGCTTATGGTGGATACCACTCTTAGAGAGGTCAGCAAAAGAGTTTTGGGCATCAGTCAGCTTGCAGAGAGGGAAAGGGAATCCTGGCATGGGAAACTGCCCGTAGAGATGGTAGTTGCTGGGGGTGCTGACCCCACTGAACATGTTTGAACCGTAGGGCCTCCCATCCCTGAACGGATTTACCCGGCTGTGCAAACTGTCAACAACATCATGGGGCCGGTAAGCATGGACATCCTGAGGTAGCACCAAGGGACTGATCAGAAACTCATCTCTCTGCAGCTTGGCGGAGGGATCACTGAGAAAAGAATGAGAAGGGGAATAAACACAACACATGCTGATAACGAGGAATAGTACCTACGTAAAGCAACCTTGTTCTGCCAACCTGGATTTGATGAATCTGTGGCAGGTGTCCACCACATGGTCCATCTGCAGGTAGATGGCTGTGTTCATGATGGGCATGATCAGACTCTCCTTTAGTGTGAGACGGGAGGTGTACATGAACTCCAGCAGGATGGCGAAGCCCTCTGGGTCCACCTTGGGATCCAGACTGATGGCGTTAAGGTTGCACTTGTGGGAGTCAGTAAAGATGGTGTAAAACAACCCACTGTAGCCATGAAAAAAAGAGAAATACACACAATATCAGTCAAGATCACAGGATCAGTCATTTCATCTTTAAACTGCAGAAGAAAAATGTGCCTCACTTGGCCAAAATAACACACCTGCAAGCCATGAGAACCGTCTTGTGCGCACGAAACTGCTGCCTGTTCACCAGGATGGTGACGTCTGTGAGGATATCTCTGCTGCGCAGCCGGTTCAGGTTCAGCAGGACGTCGCTTGCATGGCGTGTGAATTGTATGCAGCTGTCTGCTGCACAAGCCATTTTGTCAAATTCTGCAAAAAACAAACATACAGATATTTTCAGATTAAATTAGTACCTCAAATTCACAACTCACCCAGCTGTATCAATAAGGAAAAATAGGTTACTTTAAGTGAATGCAATGGGCTCAAGTTATTTATGATGTTCATCATGAGGTCTGTCAGACTGAAACAGTTACATCCCTTCCTCCAGAAGGCGGCGCCATTTATTAAATAAACCAGGTCTCGAGGTCTCTCCTCGTCCCTGTGTCTCTTCTTGTCACTGGTTGACAAGTTAATATAACCAATAAAGATGAAAAGCATGCATCATATTCTAACAGAGTAAAGAGAAGATTTATGATATAAAACAGTAATAACTTGTTTTACTATTACAAATGTTGGTAAATAAAAAAGTAATGACCGCGTTGATTTAACTTAAATAGGCCATAGCTCATATTTCAGAAAATAAACAGAATTTAATGTAATGATTTAAAAAAAAAAACCCGTTGGCAGTTTTATTAATCAAAAATCCAATAAGCACAAACGTGATCGGTCCATAGTTGTGTGAGTGCTTTCAGACGGGGAAAAGTTTTCCGCGCGGCGGTGTGGGGTCTCGTCTCACTCAGTCCACATTAACAAGCTGATGATATTTTATAAAATAGTTCAAGGAACCACTTTAGATATACGGTAATTGAAAACTTTTTTACACACAAAAACAACATGTAAATGTTTCATTTCAAACGCAATGTCCTCACCATGACTGCAGTTTAAAAGCGCTCCCGCCAGACCTCAGTGCTCTCTCCCATTAACAATATGCTGTTATGCATTTCTAGGTCAATTCCTTTGAAGGTGTAAAAACTATTTAACTCAATAGGGCAGAATTGGCTATATAGAAAGCACGCGGTTTCATGACAGTATTTTGAACTCAATGTGACTTCTGTAACTGGACACCTCCGAAAATAGGAGCAGAACAGCACAGCCTAAATATGATTTGATCAAAAGATAGAGAACTATGACCTCCAGCCAGTGGTAAACAAGCAGGAATGTTGTAGTAACAATTAACTACATTTCCAAGCAAGTTATTAGGAGTGAATGCAGCTTTAACTGCCGTCAATCTGCACCATCAGTTTGTTAATTAATATAACATCGTTTTTCAGCAAAGTAGTAAGACCCCACTTGAATTTCATTTTATTTTAAGAGCCAAAGTTTGACTAATTTTAACTGCTCCTTAGACTTAGACTTAAAACTATAAACCGAAACTCTGAGTCCATGACAGACATGAGGCAACACTGCAGGAAAGTTGAAGCCCACTCTGAAACATGTCACTGTATTCTGAGGACTGCGTGCCAAGCAGCGCAGGGTCTCAGTGGAAACACAAGTTAGCGCGACTACGTGTATCGTATCCTCTACTACCGTGGAAAAACACACACCCATCAACACTTATGTTTCCGCTAAGAAGTGACGGTAACAGAAGCACTTGTTCGGCGCAGCCTTTGCGCTTCACTAAAGTGAAACTGTGTTGAACCTGAGGCTGCCATGCTGCCGGTAGAGAGAGTCTGACAGCGCCGTGTTGACACTTGAGAGTAAAATATCGTTAAAGCACGCGCATTAACAACTGAGGCTGACACCGCTAACTGTCCACCCGACAACCATGTAGCCTAAGCCTACTATACCCCGGGCAATGGGTAGCCTATCCACCGCTCTGACTATATCCCATTTATAGTTATCTAAACTAAGCGTTATGACAGCATAACAACATGACTGTGTTGGAGCGGCATGGGGAGCTCCCGCGGAGGGACACACTGCTGTCTACCCCTGCCGGTTCAACCCCGGTCAGCCTGATCTGTCAGAGCCGTGCTGTCACTGCACGAGCCTCTCAGAGTTTCCTCCGCTGTGTTCAAACTGCCAGCGGACACAGTCACACAGCGCAGGCTTCACAAACACATAAACAGCACAAATTGACAAATAGCTCTGTCTAAAGCACCAGCATTACACAGTTGATAACCACTTCGCGCCAAATTAGAGGGAAAAAGGAATTTAAAAAATCACCTGGTAGCGCTTTCCTAGAAACTTCTTGCATCACCACTTCTAAGAACCCCAGTTCTAAGAATCAGACGAGCTCAATTCTCGGAATTTGAGCCCGAGACCGTACCACTTTCTCGTGTCAGGGGTGGGACGCCCTTTTCTCTTGTGGTAAAAACAACGTATTTCCAAAGCCGTTATTTCAACGCTTTTAGCAAATTATGCTTTTTACAGTAAACACGAGTTAGATGCAATGTTACAATGAGCATAACATCTGACTTATTTTGTAAAATAAGGCAACGAATTGTTTCATAGTGTTCAAACTCCCCCTGTTCTTGGTTGAGTCCACAGTTACAGGACGTCGAGCCGGTGACGTCATGAGTTCCTTAAACCCAGCCCCCGAAATTCTCAGAACTAATTCATATTCCATGGTTTAAGCAATGTGTCGTTTGGTGGCCTTTCTTCGCATTCAACACAAAGACAGCCCCTACTATACATTGAGCACACTGACAGACATCTTCATTAGACCCACGCGGACAGGTCGATGTGACAAGCGTGCTGTTCTTCTTTTCTTTTTTAGCCAGATTTCCTGCAGGTATGCTGACTTTATATATGGAGAATGCTGCAAAGCACCGGAGTTTGTTGTAAAAGGAACGATTTAATATGTTTAATTTGTAAAAGTGTCCTTTGAGTGTGTGGATTTGATTGTTAAGCGGTTTGGTATTTCAGTAAATGTTAGAATGCATCGTCAGATTGGCACTTATACGTGTTATTATATTCTCATCTTCGCATATTAACAGTGCGTGTCATTAGGATAAAGATTACATCGTAGGTGCGATATACAGGTATATATTAACTTAATTATATAGAAAACTTGTTGCATCACCAATATACGTTGAATGAAATCGTGCCTTGATTATTATATTGAATCAGCCATACGTGCTTGATGGTATAACTGTTAATTCCATGGTTTAATAAATAGTCCTGTTGCGACATTTTCTTGGTCTTTTTTGTATATGCTTTTGAAAATTGGACTACTAGACATAGTTTAGAAAGCCTCGTGTTGGGTTAACTGCTGTCTGTTGTTGTGGAAATGTTTGAAATTATTATTAAGATTGGAATTTGAAATTGCCCCTGTCAGATGATGTGCACACTTACAGCGAAAAACAATGCCAATGCAAAGTGAACGTTTCCTGGGAAATGAATTAAATGCATTGCTGTGATTTTTCCCACAATTTAATTTAAAAGTGTTCTCCCTGTTGCATAATTTCTCAGAGTTGAGGGAGAATAAACAGCCTTTATTTTTCAGCTTACTGGTGTTGTGTTTTACTACATTAGTGTGAAAAGTAGAAAGCAGGATTGTTTCTATTAAATGATGGCATGGTCAAGAAGTTGAACTATTTTTCTTTCCTGCGTTGGGATGAAAACTGTGTATGTAACTGGTGTGAAGTATTGTTTTGACCAGTTTATTGATGGTATATGGTGCATTGTTAGGGGATGCAAGCATCTGAAATGTTGTAGTAATTTTATGATTCATGTCAGTGGCTCACCTTGGAAACTTTGTTTGTGGTGATTCCAAACCTCTCCATCTTTGCTCATCCCGTTCACCCCTTGGCACAGAAGGAGCATCTGCTGAGCTGATGGTACATAACAAAAACACATTTATACAATATATGAAAAAACATATAGGTTACAGTGTACACTCAATCATGTATTACTCTCCTTTCTAAATGTATCAATTATCTTCAGTAGTTTTAATGTTACAAAATAACACAGGTGGTTGGATCAAAACTCTCTGGTGGGATTATATAAATTATATATTTATAGGATAAAGTCAATATTCATATCATTGTACAGAACAGCATACAAAGAACTGAAGCGTATTAATGATAATAAGATGCACATCCCTTACTCGGACATAACCTTGTCATCTGTATTGGATTTGTATTTAATTTGGTAAATATCCACAGTGGTCCTTTAAATACCTCCTTGTCAAAATTATATATTTGATCAAGTCTTTGAGGATTATTATGTAAATCATGGTCTAATACTTTTGTTTTGATGAAGACAAGATGAAGTTTTTAACTCTAATGTAAAAATGCTTTTCTAATTTTCAACACACATTTTTCTGAGTAATTTAAATATATACTTTATCACAGTGGCATTACATGAGGTTAAATGAACATGAGTGAGAGTTGTGCAGTCAGTCATTGTGTTTCAGACTATTTTTCTTTTGTGTTTAACCCTTTATGTGACGCCACACTCCTGTAATGTAACCGACATTTCCCTGTGGATCGCCGAGCATCCGCCCATCTGGATCCGGCATCCCACTAAAAACACTCCAGGTGTTTACAAACCATTGGAAGGGAGGGGGGGAAAGTCTCCAAAATAATTAAGACGCACGCTTTCACAGCAACCTCCGATTCAGCACTGCCAAATAAAGACTTTGTTGAGCTGCAAACAAAGAGCAGCGTCAACTTTATTTCAATCCACTTGGGGGATGTTTAAGGCGCTCCAGCACAGTTATGCATAATGCACGGCCGTAAAGCATCCAGGAGTTAGGAGAGAGATGTGTAATTTACCAGAGCCCCATGCTGTGCCCGGCTATAGAAGGATGAGATAATTACTGCAAATCCTTGGCAAACTTTAACTCAACCAATTCCTAGCAGAAAATAAATGACCCACTTACAGAGGACAGAGAAAAAGTGCAGGGTAGCTGATCAATATCTAAACTGATAGGAACGACACACACATTGTCACATTATGAACAGGGTATCTCCATAATGAAACAGCGGGTCATGATGTTGGGGTCTCTTTGTTAAGGCGGCTCAGAAACTAAGGGATCAGAGCAGGTTGTGACAGCGAGCCCAGGCCATTAACAGCTGCACATAGAAAAACAGCTTGTGACACAGTGTGAAACATCTCTGAGCCGTATCATTGCGTACACTCGGCGCATGATAGGTCACTGAATAGAAATGCCCACTGACAAAAGCCCGAGGCCCGGAGGTTGCCTCACTTTCTTTTTTCTCATAAACTGCACACTTTGTCTCGTTTCACAGCAAATTTCTGCCAACTTCAGTGTTCATTGTCAGCAAAGATGTGAGTGTGTGGAGTTTTGTTCTGAGAGGCATGATGCAACCCAGCTGTAACACCAAACATATAATGCTGTTAGCTACAGAGCTCCTTTTTTAGTTCCCTTTCTTTAAAATAATTTCTTTTTTATATTGTTGAGTTTCACTTTTTTAACTCTGTGCATCCCGGAAGAATTGTGTTCTTCCTTTGCCGCATGCGAGCAACCAGTCCCCCCCACCCCGCCCCACCCCCCCCACCCTCATTGTCACATGTGATTCCTACTGCAGGTCTGGATTGAGACACGGCTGCACATCAATTCTTTACTAACATTTGTTCCAATAGTCTATATGTTCTTACACATTTTCCTTACTCGTCTATTCTGTCTATCATTGATAACAAATGACATGCATAATTGATAAAGTAAAGAACACACTTTGTAATAAATAGACCCACTTCAAAAATATTTCCTGTGCCAGTTACGATGAGCACACTTTACTTGGAAGCTTTCCTCTTGCTTTTTAATTAACAGACAAACTGGTGAGTTGTTGACATGAAATCTTGTCTGTTTGCAACAATGCTGCTGCAGTGTGTGTCTGCACTCACACACTCCCACTGAAAGACGGCTTTCATCCCACTTGACAAGGTTAAACCAAACACACCCAGTCAGATTATCAGCAGCAGTGCGTAATTGAAATAGGAAGCTCACCCAAAGGACTCCCTTGATTGTATATATGTTGATATACTTTTGAGTTTTTGGACTTTATATTAAATTGTTTCCCTCTTCCTGAATGCAAAAAGTGTGATCAAAGCACCGGTGATCAATGGAGAGGCTTGCTGCATAGGCTTTGTTAAAAGACTCTTTTTATTCTGCTTTATCCCTTATTTCAAAATGAACTTAGTAAAAACGTTGGAGAATGTTTCTGTAGGATAACCTTGAGTTCAGCAGCCTACCTCTGCGAGCTACATGCTAAGGTTGTAGTCGGAGCATACAACCTTTGTGAGCTAGAATTTCAATTTTTTTTGTCAAATAAAAGCATGTAGATTCAGGACATTCTCAAGGCCAGCTGAGAGCAGCCAGGAATGCAGCCTGCAGAGCCCAACTTGATGGAATTCTCCACGCATACCAGAAACAGTCCCTCACCAGTGTGCCATCTGCTTGAGGATGGGTCAGTTACTTGCATTAACACAAAGAGCTGCAAAGCAAAAGTGTGCAATAGCTACCATCTTTACAAATCAGATGTTGTTCTCTCACGTGCCCAAAAACACGGGAGTTTTAAGAGTAGGTGAGGAGGAGTTGTTAAGACTAACTTCAGCACAGATTAGTCTCAGAGCCGTGTCTGTGCTTGGTATTTAACAGAGGTATCCCCTCGCAGTGATAGGGAGCTTTAGTGCAGACAGAGATGGAAAACGGTAAACAAGTGGCTCTTATTTCTTTGCACCACCCTCCATAATGATCCAATACAAATCCTCTCTGTGAATCAACCCCTTTCTGCTCTGAGTCACAACACCTTTCAGAACCGCGCTGCAGCTCTGCAGCTCTGCAGCTCTGCAGCTCCTCCTCCATCACTGCATGATTTGGTTTTTCTATAACTTTAGGGACGTACGTACTCCTGCGTGCTAATACACCCAAACTGTACACGAGGGGTTACTTTATTCATTTGCATGATAACAGAGTCAAAAGAATGGACAAATGGTTTTAATAGTTAGTTCAGTTTGAAATGAATAAACAGTTTTTATAAGGATCTACACAAAAACAGACCTAGTAGTTGGCTATATCACTTACATAATGTACATTTACTTGCATACTATACTCAAGCAAAGGTGGATAAAGTACTCAGATGTTTTACTTTAGTAAAAGTATAAAAAAAACAGCAACTGAATATACTTAAAGTACCCAAAGACATTTTTTATTCTGCAAAATGGCACATTTCTGAATTCTTCTAAATTAATTACAGTTATTTATGTATTAATTGTCACTTTTTAGTTGCAGCTG